TCGATCCCAGGACCCTGGGATCATGACCTGAGCTGAAGGCAGACGCTTAACGACTGAGCCACCCAGGCGCCCCTATATTTTTAAAGATTTTATTTATTTATTTGACAGAGAGAGACACAGAGAGGGAACACAAGCAGGGGGAGAAGGAGAAGCAGGCTTCCCGCGGAGCAGGGAGCCCGATGCGGGGCTCAATCCCAGGACCCTGGGATCATGACCTGAGCCGAAGACGACCATGACCTGAGACGCTTAACGACTGAGCCACCCAGGAGCCCCTTTAATATTTTTTTAAAGATTTTACTTATTTGAGAGATTGGGAATGCGCATGAGCACAAGCAGGCAAGGGGGCAGAGGGAGAGGGAGAAACAGACTCACTGCTGAGCAGGGAGCCCAATGCCGGGCTTGATCCCAGGACCCTGGGATCATGACCTAAGTGAAAGAGGCTTAACCAACTGAGCCACCCAGGTTCCCCTGTTTATGGATCTTTAAAGATCATTATCTGCTTTTTCCTATATTTCCCAGCCAGTTCCTCAAGTATATGTGCCTTCTTAGGAAGGAGCAGTAAGTGCTGGTCACTATGCGGTGTGGCTAAAACAGGCCAGAGAAGGGGTGGGGCGGGGGGCAGCTGAGCACAGAGCACTTACTGTGGCTTCTCAAGCTCCCTAGGGCCTGGTTTGCAGCCCTCCTGTCCCAATCAGCTCCAGTGCTGTGGTTTCCTGTTTGCAGCCTACACTCAGGCCAGCCTCAAGCCCCAGCCAGCCTCTGGGTGTAACGGGGGATGGTAATGCTGTCCGGAAAGTAGCAGGAGGGGCTGGGGAGAGGTCAACCCAGCGAGTTTCTGAAGGAAGGGGAGGAGAGGCAAAGATGTGCTGCAGGGGGCCCTGGGAGGGAGACTGAGAGCGAAGGACCCTGACAACCCACTATGGTTGGTTAAATTAGGGCAAGCACAGGAAGCCTGTCCTCATTCCTGAGTCTCTCCACCCTAGTCTACCACCGAGTTTGCAATTCCACCATTGTGACACATGGGCCTTTCTTGGGTGTCTGAAGTGAGGAGGACCTCGGCTGGGTTTGAAGCCCAGCTTCATAGCTATGACTACCCAGGCAAATCGTTTCTCCTCCCTAAGCCTCAGTTTCCTCATCTGTAAAATGGGGACAGTGGAACTACAATCCTTCAAACTTCAAACAGGGTTGTTTGAAGACACTTAAAGGGCCTACCATAAACATCAGTGTCGCCACTCTTTCAACGTCCTTCTTTGCCCCCACTCTGAGGGTCGCAGGGCAGCAACTCAGAGGGAGGCAGGGGCATCAGAGACAGATTCTATCAGCTTTGTGTTGATAGATGGGAGAAGGCCCATAGGAATGTGCAATGTGACATGTCCCCACCCCTCTTCAGCCTTTGTTTCTCCATCTTCCTCATCTGTACAGTAGAAAGAAGATCAAGGCTGACTTCTAATGAGTTTTCTGGTTTTGACTGGCTGGTGACCCAGAACACAGAGACCTCGTGAACTTGACAACTTTTTGCCAAGAGATCAGGACTGTGTTGTGTTTTGGGGAGGGAGGAATCATTGCTGGTCAGGGCAGGGAAATCCTGTGACTATACTCTATTATAAGACCCAGTGGCCAAAGTGTAGGCTGAGCCTGGATCCCCACGGTGGGCCATTCACACCCACTTTTAGAAATGGGCTTTCATGGCAGCAACATGGTGGTCAATCAGCCAAACTGTCTGACTCCAAGGCCAGGCACTCCAGCCCTTCACTTTTGATCTCCTACCTATACCCCCAAGTCACCTCTTGGCATCTGAGGGACAAGCCAGGGCTCAGCTTACCCACCTTTCCTGGTCTGGCTCTCCCGGATGAGGAAGGCCCCTCCAGAGTTTCCAGGCAGCAACAGCAGTTCTTCAGCTTTCTCCCGGCTCAGGCCCTCATACAGCCACCTGTGGGAGGGACAGAGAGAGGTCAGCCTGGGCATGGGTGAGCCAAGACTCCTACTCAAACCCCTCCTCCCTCTCTGGGCCTCAGAGTTCCATCTGTACCTTGGTCTCTAAGGGCCCCCCAGCTTTGTCTTGGTCCTGGTTCCAGAGGCCGCAGAGGACAACCTCATGGGGTCAGCCCCAGCCTTTTGTGCCTGGAGACCTCATTCCCAAGTGGCCAGGAGGCTGGGGGAAGGTGGGGTGATCACAGACTCCTATCACTGCCCAGCTCCTCTAGCACCCCTATGCTAGCCACTCACCTTTCCGAGAATTGCCTATGTGTGTGTGTGTTTAATTGTAGTAAATATTTTCTTTGAACATTTTAAAGTTTAACTTTGCAGCCAAAAGGCATGCGGGTGAACATGTATTCATTATCAATGAAATCTAACTCCCATTGGAGCTTATTTGTGGGTAGAAATGTTGGAACTAGAATGTTCAAGACATTCTAAAATCTTGGAAATAATCATGCAAGATATCGATTACCGTATGTGCCTCCCAAAGCACAGATCTTCATGACCTATTCCTCGGGGCCTCTCACTGCTGGATTTTTGATTACCCTGGCCCCCTATTTTCCTTTCTCCTTTCACTTAATCCTTTACCTATATGTCCATGAAGGACTTAACTGCAATGGAAAGTTCAGGGTGGTTTTGCAGGAATTTTTTGGCTTACTAGTCCATCAGCCTTCTAATGTCCCCGGAGTCATGCTTTATGGTCCCCGGGAAAACCTACAGAAGCCAACTCGATGGAAATGGCTGCCTCCCTGTCATCGTGTGAAATTCACAGTCAAATCCAGAGTCAGGGTTGAGTCCATTCCAAGGAGATAAATCAGAGAAGCTGTGACCCACTTGGTGCCAGCAGCAAACTTAGCCTAGTTTTATAGTAAATAAAACAAGTCATTCATATGACTTACAAACATGGAGGAAGCAGACGGAGGGGCAAGGGAAGGGGACTCTTAGAGGTGGCCAGTGTCTCCTTGGCTGAAACTTCAGTGCCACACTGGGGATGCAAAACCTCTGGCCAGCAGGGCCAGGCCAGCCGGAAATACATGGGTGCTAACAACCTCTATGCGAGCTGATTCTGTGAGATGTCCGCACGTCTCGGGAGCCCTGCACTACTTTCACTAGAGCCAGACATCCCGCTCACCTCAGAGAAGGAAGGCCACCCAGTGCCAGAGTCATACTTTCTCTCAGAACAGAAGAGCGGCCAGCACAGCACACACAGCGTACCTCCTGACTCCGTGTTATGTGGTTTAATCCCACCGAAAGGTAGTTCCCTTCCTTTCTCTCTCATGACATAGAATTTGCTCTGGAGTTGGTTTCTTTTGTCACTCATTCGTGGTGAGCGATGGCATCCCCCGTGTCCTGCCCACTGTGAGGCCCCTCTTAGAAGGGCAGACTTGCCAAGATATGGGGCGCCACCCCTCCATTTTCTTGCCTCAGGACATTTAGGACACGTATGCAGCTGCTCCCTTTCAGCATTCTCCTCCACTGACTCCCGGACACCCTCCAAAGCCCAGAGGACATCTCTGTGGGGCCTTCCTGAGCCCCCTCTTCTGGGCTCCTGAGTCTCGCAGGCCGACCTGAGAGCTCAGGCTAGCTGTTCACTCTTCCTGAGGGCAGGGCCCAGGCCTGATTCTCCCCTGTCCCGTTTTGCTCAGCACAGGACTGGCCATAAAGAACCATGCTCGTGGGAAGAGAAAGCAGGAAGTTCCCCTAAGGCAGGGCCTGGGGTGTGAACTCACCCGTGGGAGATTTTGGCCACGTGACTGCTGGGGATGCTGTATTCTGTGCCTGAAACTTCTGACATCACCGTCCACCAGTCTCCATCTCTGGGGAGAGAAAGGGGAGGGGAACTACTCATTTAGGATTCCTGAGGACCTGGCAGGCTGGCTCCTTCCGCCTGCACCGGCCAGTGCTCCTACCTCCTGGGCAAGGAAACGGCACGATTCAGGGCCCCCTGCAAGGCCCTGCCTATCCAAGCCTTCTCCCTACAGCTGTGTCAGGCTTCCTAAATCCCACAATTAGGGCCACGTGTGAGCTCAGCGCCAAAGGCTATGCTCTTTACTCCCGGAGGGAGGGGCCCCTTCTCTCATGAGTGCATCTTCAGGTGCCAGGGGGAGGAAGCAGAATTCCCCACCCTTCCTCCCCATTAGGACAGGACTTACTCAGAGATGATGGTCAACGGATCCCCCAGTCTCAGTGACAGCTCTGTGTGCTCGCCGACCGGGAAACTGCCCAGGGCCACGGCTGTGGCCCTGCTTCTCTCTGGAGGGAGGGACAGAGATGGTCACCTTCTTGGCTAGTCTTCTCTCCATATGTGAAGTCTAGTGGAGTCTGGGCTTTCTACCATCAACCCCGCCATGAACACCCTGGGGAGCATGTCTGCTGGGATTCCAGGAGGGCTACTCTGGAATCTGAAGCTTTTCCAGTGGCCTCTGCAGAGCCCTACAGATGGCCCAGACATCTTTTGGGGTCATTCAGGGAAAGGGTTGGTGTGGCAAGAGGAGTGGGGCTTGGGGCACCTGGGTGGCTCAGTTGGTTAAGCGACTGCCTTCAGCTCAGGTCATGATCCTGGAGTCCCGGGATCGAGTCCCACATCGGGCTCCCTGCTCGGCGGAGAGTCTGCTTCTCCCTCTGACCCTCCCCACCCCATGGTCTCTCTATCTCATTCTCTCTCTCAAATAAATAAATAAAATCTTTAAAATAAAAAAAGGAGTGGGGCTCCTGGCTACAATCGCTTTTTATATGGAGATGTTCAAGATCTTGATAAAAGGATTCTGCTGCTCAGCAAACTTAAAAACTATAGCTCTAAGCAGGTATCAGCACAGATCTTGGAGCTCAGTTTCTGGAAGGCAGTTTCTGGAAGTTCTAATGATGTGGGTACTGAATGGACTAACCTTTAGGGCTGAGGTCCGGGGTACGCATGGGAGGAAGAGGGCTGCTGGAAGGGCCAGTGAAATCACAGATGTGGACAGGCTTTGTAACTCTAGAGTGCCATGCATGTGGATAGCATGGCTCTCTCATGGCTTTTGTCCAGAATGACAGGTATAGGTCCGTGCTGCCCCAAGAAAAGGTGGGGTCCCAGGGGCCCACTGTGCCAGGCCTGGCTCAGAGCAGACACCCAACAGGTACATGTGGCCCAGTCAAGTGTCCTGTCCTGGCCACATGCCTGCCATCCTTTACTGAGCAACTGCTGAGTGTCAGGGCCTGACTGGGTGCGTCACTCCGGCCCTCACAAGCCCCTAAGGTAGTCCTCTCTGGTCAGCCCCATCACACAGCGAGGCAACTGAGGTGAGACAGGGCACTGTGCCAGGAGTGGCTCCTATGCCATTCCCTATCCCTCTGCCCATGGGGCACTGTTAGGGTGGGTGACCATTGTGGCTACTCACGGGCCCAGGTTGGGGGGGACTTGGCTAGACAGCAGTAGCACCTCTCCAAAAAGCCCCAGGCTCCCTGGGACGCTGACATTCAGAGAGGGAGTCACGGAGCCAGAGGATGCCAAGCTTCCCCTCTCCCCGACACCATCACACCAGGATTGGTCCCAAGGACATGGCGGCCATGAGGACAATTTGAGGTTGGATGGTAGGTGGCAAGCAGCTCCCTCAGCACAGGATGCTCATGCCCTCATCTACCTCAGGGATCAGCCCACCTAGTCTAACTAGACCTCCTGATACCTGGCTGGGCCTTCTCATCCTAAAAAACCTGCCCTCTGTAGGCTGCTGAGATCCACTTCACCCACATCCCAGTGTCCCTCCCTCTCCTTCCTCTTCATCCCTTTTCAGTAGGGGTCTCTGAAACAAAGGGAAAAGAGACACACTTGTCAGCACATCAGTGCATCAAGCTATGAAAAGCAGTCAAGGTCAGCATGAAAAGTTTATCTGTCTCATAGATGCTCCTGCAGGAGCCAAGGCCTCAGAGGGTTCTGTGATACCCTCTAGACAGATGTTCCCAGAGATAGGGGAGAGAGAGCAGATGGACAGACAAGGCCCAAGGGGATGGGGCATCGGTGGGGCAGACCTGGAGCTGGACACTGTGTGGTATATGGGCCTATATTCCAGGTGGACATGGGAAGAATGAGGCTGTGATCCTGGAAAGGGACTGGTTCCTATGTGTCCTCCCAGACACATGTGCAGATCTACATGGTGACCCTGGACTGGAGCTCCTCAGAGCCGTCAGCAGCACAGGGCCTGGCCATCCCACAGTGCCGGGAAATGCCTGATGCCCGAATAAACAATGCAAGCAAGTCTTGTGGAAAGCGTCCTCCAACAAGGGTGAAACCAAGTGGCCTGGAAGGACCCCTTCCCCTCCTGGAACCACCCCTCCCTTTCCTGGAAGCCCTGGCATTGTGCCCCTGGTTGCCACTGGGCTGCATATGCTGTCCCCGATTGACCCATCTGCCTGGCCGACTCGCCTGCACCTTTCACGCCCTGGATAAAACGTCCCTTCCTTGGTGAAGCCTTCCTGATGAGTCCCTCAGCATACACTCTTAATCAGAGTCCCTTAAAATGCACTGTCACCAAAATTGAACACAATTGTAACAGAGCCTGTATCTGGGGCTTGACTGTCCCTGAAGGCAAGGACTGTGCCTATCTTGTCCATTGCTATGTCCCCCTGGTCCTGGCACAAGGCCCGGTATGGGGTAGAGCCTTGGTAGATTTTGGATGGATGCAAGGCTGATAGAAAAATGACTCATGGAAGGGGCTGCCCCAAATCTGTGTTCCTGCTGGGCTCAGGGGTTGACATACCAAGAGACAGGCCCTTCCTTCCCCCTGCAGACCCTGTCAGAAAGGGAAACACAGTTCCCCTCAGGTCTCACAGGCAGGGAGAGCCCCCAGAGCACTCTGGCCATGACTCAGAGCAGCCTTGGGGCCGCAGCCTGTGGCTAGATTCAGAGGAAATAAGGGGGAGGTCTGTGTGGTTTCCAGGTCTCTTCCTGCAGGGCCTGGTGGGCCCCCAGCTCCCGGCAGACTGAGTGACTAAAAGGTGGCAGCTGCTTCCCCACCAAGAGAATGACAGTGCCCAGGGTGTTAATGCCTGTGGGAGGCTGGCATTAGAGAGAGGAATGTATTAGGGGCAGGGCCGAGATAGGGGAGGAGGCCCCAGCCATTGCAGGGGAGTTTCCAGACTGGGGATAGCTTCTGCCCAAACACAGACATCCAGATATTTGGCTCTACAGTCTCCTGGTTCTGTTTAAGTGTGTGTCCATGTCCTTCCTCCTAAAAGTGCTGCTTGGTTTAGAGTGATTTGTTATCTGTGATGGTTAATTTTGTGTGTCAACACGGCTAGCCCACAGGACCCAGATACTGGGTCAAACACCAGTCCAGAAGTCTAGATGTTGCTGTGAAGATGTTTTTAAGATGAGATAACAATTTAAGTCAGTAGACTTTGAATACAGCTGATTACCCTCCATGATGTGGGTGGGCCTCATCCAGTCAGTGGAAGATCTTAAGAGAAGAAGACTGAGGTCCTGCAAGGAAGAGGGATTTCCAGACTTGACTCTGGAATTCTGCAGCATTAACTCTTCCTTGGGCCTCTGGCCTGCCAGCCTGCCCAACAGATTTTAGCCTTGCCAACCCCCACAGTTGCATGAACCAATTTCTTAAAATAAATTCTGTGTCTACACACACACACACACACCCATGTACACATACCCTATTGGTCCTGTTTCTCTGGAGAACCCTGATGAATACATCATCAAAACCCCAAATCAGGATATGATTCGAGAAAGGATTTGTGGGTCGTTTGGGGGAACAACAAACAAACTGGGCCTATGGTTTCGATATTAAAATAATAGAATTTCTAGGATATTTTGATTTTCTCATTGTCTTAAAAACTGGCATTTTTTAGTTAGGACTATCTTGAAAATCACAGTTGTAGGCTCAGCATAGGCATTATAAGTCCCAATTTTTTCCAACTGCCATAGTTCTAATTTGGCTTCCAGTATTTCACAGGATAAGAGGACATACTTTGGAGCCACACTATCCAGTAGAACTTTCTATGATGAAGGAAATGTTCTGTAACTGTGCTGTCCAATAGGCAGCCACTAGCCACATATGGCTACTGAGCACTCAAAATGCAGCTGGTGTGACTGAGGAGCTACAAATTTAACTTAATTTCATTTTAATGAATTTTACTTTGAATTTAAATGGCCACAGATGGCTAGAGGCTATTATAACGGACAGCACAGCTTTGGAGAGCTACTGAACTGGGGTTGGTCTTAAGAGTTGCCAGCTCAATTTCCTCATAAACTGAGGAGGAAGGAAGCCCTCCTGGTCAGCACCTGTCACTCTCCCACATTTTCTAGCTTATCAAGTGTTCTGAGTGCTGAAATGTAAGCTCCTCCAGAGGAGTGACCCTGCCTGTATGGTTCATGGGGAAGGGCCTGGTATATAGCAGGCGCTCATTGAAACTTGAAGCTGTGCTGGAGTGGCCGGTCAGGAAGGCTCACAGAGGCAGCGATGTCTGGGGCCGTGAAGTCTTACTGTGTCTGGGAAGCCTACCTGCTTGCATGGGCACAGGGCCCGGTTCTTGGACAGAGGGGCTCGAGCTTGGGCTTGGCTGGGTTTTCCCTCTGCTGGGCTGACCTCCCATCGTTCCTCAGCAGAACACTCAGAAGTGCATGGCCAAGAGAAATCTGAAAGAGATGTTGCAATGGACACAGAGGCCCTGGTCCCCAGACACCCTCTCCCTCCCCAGTTCAGCCCTGCTGACAAGAGGGAATGATCCCCCTCCCACCAGGACTAGGCTCCAGCCCCTCCACCAGACTCTGGAGGCTCTCTTCTCTGAAGCTGGACCCTGTTTCCGCTGGTGGGTCTACTTTTCCACGCGGCAGCCATGCTCTGTTCTTTGTTTCTGGGCCTTTACCTGTGTGGGGCCCCTTCCACTGGCTGGACTGTCCTTTCCCCTGGGGGCCTGTCTGGATCCCACCCTTCCCTGGGAAGATTTCTCTGAATCCCCCAGCCATCATTCCTATAATCTACTCAGAACCATTTCCTGACCTGGGATCACACTGGCAGGGGACGAGAGGATCCATGACTAGGGTTAGAGGTGGGCAAGGGGGATCTGAGGAGGCTTGGGAGCTGGTGTCCTTACAAGCTAAGGTGACACTGAGCACACTGTTATCGGTGTCACAGGGCAAAGTAAGATGACTGGGAGACTGTACACCACAGTGATGACTTGCAAGGCTTTGGAGGGATTGGCTGTCGAGCTACTTCCCTGCTCTTTGCCTCCATTTCCTCATCTGAAAAATGGGGATACCAATACCCAACATTTGGGTCCAAAAGATAAGGCACGTGAGAAGCTTGGTCAGGGCACACTTTTTCTTTATTGTGCTCTGAATGTCGCTTCACCAGAGGGCACTCCTGGGAGACTTGCCCTTTTTTCTTTTTCTCAGCTCTCTGTTGCATTCCTTCCCATGGTTGTGGTTGCTTTTTTTTTTTTTTTTTTTTGTAAGATTTTATTTTGTAATCTCTACACCCAACATAGGGCTCGAACTCACAACCCTGAGATCCAGAGTCACATGCTCTACTGACTGAGCCAGCGTGCCTGCCTTCCCAAGTTTTAATTATTCATTTATTAGAGTGTTTACTTGTTTTGCCATTATTCCATAGCTCAATGAGGACAAAGACCTATTTTTGTTTGCCTGTTTCCTCAACAATTCATGAGGCACCTGGCCCATAAAAGGCACTCAACACACATTAACTAAGTGGACAAAGTGATTATTAGCTCTTTGGACAGGTGTCTTATCCTTAGAATAATTTTAATTTTCAGAGTAATGCTAATTTTTTCAAACATTTTATTAAAGTGTTTCAGGGAGGTGGTTTCATTCTTTCAGATGGTTTCATCCTTTTCATGGAGACGAGGAATAATTATACCAGCTTGGTTCCCTGGAGGAGCTCATGGAATGGCACAGGGACATAGCAGGCTCTGGCCTTGCCTTTGAACCCTTCACCATGCATGGGTAAGGATGGGTTTCTGTCATTATCATGGAGAGTTCTGTACTCATAGGGATGGAGCTCCTTAATACAAAATGGGCCCATCTTTAGGAAATGGCTCCTGGCAGCCACTTCCTGCTCAGACTTTAGGATCCTGAAGCCTTGGCAGGCCAAGACAGTATTGCTGCTTCCTGAGGAGATCTCTAATGCCCTCACTGCTAGGGCTCCCCTTCACATTAGGTTTTCAACATCCCTGCTGCTCCCCAGCCTTTCCTTTCCCCTGGGGTATCAGATACAAGCTCTATGCTTAACTGTGCAGACATGAGTCCAGAAAACCTCAGGGAGAGATCTCTCCTGGGTAGCATGAGTGATTCATTCAGACCAACCAGCCTCCAGCTGTGTGACCTCCTCACACAAAGCACATAGCCTCTGTCTCGTCTTTGAATTGGGGATAGTACCAACTCCACTGGGCTGTGGGGAGAATTTGGGGAGCTGACATGGAGTGGGTGCTCAGTAAAGGTTAGTTTCCTTCCCCTCCTTCAGCAAGACAAAGTCACCACAATCACCAACTGCACTAAACCCAAAGACTTCTTCCTACAGCAGGTGGAGCTGGGAGATGGACCCAAGAGAGGTAGGAGAGCCACACTCAGGCTGGAAGCATCCCCCTTCCCTGACCTCTGCCAGCTCCCTTCACCTGTCCTGGTCAGGGCCAGGCAGCTTCCTGGGGTGAAATGAAGACCACGGGGTATGCAGCCCTGGGAGGTTGTGTTGGTCAAAACTTTAGAAAGAATCTAATTATTAATTGCACACGTATTTGAACAATTTACTGTGTGCCAGGCACTTTCTTGGGGGCCCAGGCTAGTGCGTAGAAGGAAAGAGTAAAGGCCACTGAGACCAGCACACTGCCTGCTGTTGTTTTTTGATCTTTTCACTGTATCCTGTGAGAGCCTGGCAGCTTTGAAACCCATTCACATACAATGATCAGGGCTCAGAGAGGGCAACCTCGTGCTCACTCTCACGCAGCTGGTTAGTGCAGAGCTGGGTCTACAAATCCACGTCTTTTGTGTTTTTGTGCTTCTGAAGCTATTTTTTAGTGGTGAAAGTAAGAGTGATGAATTTGGATTGAGCTAAAGGGAGACCTCTCTCTCAACTGAGAAACATCACCCTTTTGAGAAGAACTGTAGACTCTAAGCCGAAAATGCCTTCAGAGATTATAATTCAGACTCCTCTCATTCACTGATGTTGGAAGGCTGGAGCCCAGAGGGGGCCCCAAAGTCCTACAAGCATGCTGGTGACCGAGATGGGACCAGAAGAGGCATGAAGACAAGCTGGCAGGCATAATGTAATTCTTGGGGAAGGGGGGGCAAAGGCGGAATCGGGGAGCCTGGGTTCCTTCAGGGACCCTCAAAACTAACCCCTTACATTGTCAACAAAACAACTTATTTTCCTGGAACTTGTCCCCCCACTGTGAGCCCACTCTCACCCTCTGAGGGGACCATCCTTCCTCACAGTCCCGGGGCCATCAGAAAACAAAAGCAAATGTACTTACTTGGTTTCCTGTCATCAAAGCTTGGGGCGGGGGCTCAGCTTAGATGCATGCTTTGGCTGGAGAGGTTAGGGCTTTGGAAGGCCCTTCGGAACATCTGCCGAAGTCCTTCGTCCTAGGACACTCAGAATCCTCTCAGCCTGGGAGACTCTTCAGGGAGATGTTCTTGTTATCCCTTTGTGTGGCTCTGCATCTGCTGTGGTCAGCAGTTTGTAGACCTGGGATGGGACAGGAGACTGGTGCTTCTTAGGGACCCCCCCACCCTGGACAGCCCTCCCAAGCACAGCCAGACCAGGGAAGAAGGCCCAGGGCTCTTTGAGCTTTGTCATAGGGTCCTTGGGGCTCCCAGCTCACATCTGCAGCCTCTGTGGTTCTCACAACCACCCATTTCCTCTGACGGCATCACAGACCATCAAGGAGCCACCTTCCCCAAGTTCCTGTTTCAAGCAGCTGCCTTGTCATGATCCCAGAGGGAGAGGTTTTTCTCTGATTTTGTGCCTTGGTCTTGCCTGAGGAACACAGAACTGAGGTAAATGAGTTTCCCATTCTTACCTGACCATTATAATCATCTGAAGTTCTTGTAGGTATCAGATTTCTGGGCTCCTCCTCCATCTTCTGAATCCAAGTCACCAGAGGAAAGCCTAGGAATCTGAATTGTATATACTCCAAGAGACGCCCTCAACTGGCTTTGGCGGAGGCACTGCCTTGGAGGGATGTGTCCTACCCTTTAATGTGGATAGGTATCCCTTGGGGATCTTGTTAAATCGCAGATTCTAGTTCAGTGGGCCTGGGGTGAGATTGAAGACTCTGCATTGCTAACAACTCCCAGGCAATACCCATATTGCTGGTCCATGAACCACACTCTGAGTAACAAGACCTGGATAGTGGTTCTCCAAGTGTGGTCCTAGGCCAGCATTCTCAGCATCCTCTGTAAATTTGTTAGACATGCAAATTCTTGGGCCCCATCTCAGATCTACTAGATCAGAAACTCTATTAGGTGGGGCCAGCAATTGCTTTCCACGAGCCCTCCACCTTCCAGGTGTTCTCATGCACAACCCAAATCTGAGTGTCACTCAGCTAGGATAAAGAAATTTCTGACAGAATTGCCTTTGGTGTGTTACCTTCAGTCATTAAAATCGAAATAAAGTCCCCAGTTCATTAATATCTAAATAACCACACCTACTGCTGCCTTTCCATTTAGGGGTTAGTATTCCTGAAGACATGATTTTTTTTTCTTAAAGATTTTATTTGAGGGGCGCCTGGGTGGCTCAGTCTTTAAGCGTCTGCCTTCGGCTCAGGTCATGATCCCAGGGTCCTGGGATCGAGTTCCGCATCGGGCTCCCTGCTCCACGGGAAGCCTGTTCTCCCTCTCCCACTCCCCCTGCTTGTGTTCCTGCTCTCGCTGTCTCTGTCAACTAAATAAATAAAATCTTAAAAAAAAAAATTTTATTTGAAAGAGTGAATGAGGGAGCGAGCAAGCACAAGCAGGGGGCGGGGCAGAGGGAGAGGGAGAAGCAGACTCCCCTGCTGAGCAGGGAGCCTGACTCAGGGCTGATTCCAGGACTGTGGGATCATGACCTGAGCGCAGGGCAGATGCTTAACAGACTGAGCCCCCCCCGGCCCCGAGATATGCTTTTAAACACAAAATGGCCCCGAAATAGCTCCTGACTCCAGCTCACACTATGAAGCCTTTACTGGGGCCCTGCCAGCTAGGGCACACTCCAGCTCAGGTTCTCCCTTTCTCCCAGGGAAGGCTGGTTTGAGACTTAACTCCATGGGTACTTGGTGTGAAGAGCTGAAGAAGCCAGAATGGAGACACATCCTGTGTAAGGATGTTAGAATGGGTGATGGCCACTCAAGGATGTGGCCCAGGGGACTGAGCACAGGCCCACCCGCCTGCTCCTGTCTGCATACCATTCTGATGTCTTCACAGGAAGGACTTTCAGACTGGCCTCAAGGTGAGGTCCAAGAAGCCACTGAGAATTAAACTCCCAGATTTGCTGCTTATTAGTTGTGTGACCATCTGTAGTTACCTCTAGGCTGGTTTCTCATCCATAAAATGGGACTAGCATGTACCTCACCGGACCATTATTAGGAAACATATAGGAAGGTGCAAAGGGCCCCAGCCTACAGTAGATGCTCAATAAAGGCTGA